ATTCAAGCGGATCTGAACGAATTACAAACTTGGTGCAGCAATTTGAATAGCGAATTCCTATTCCAGACTTGCGACTGCATATGCCATTGGTGCAATATTGCAATTGACTGAAGCTACATGGTAAAACGCTCTCTAACTTTCCCGAAATTCGTGAACTTAGACTGCACTACTCAACCACCTTCAATTTCCAGACGGGTGCAATGTGCTATTGAAAATGCTCTTAGACGGGGTGTGCTAATAATAAACTCCTTTGCAGTTAAGGACTCTAAAACGTACTTATTTGCAACTGGAACTCGTCTAGGAGTAAAATACCCTTCGTTACTATATTCCAACCGGATATAAGGTATGATGACTGCAATTTACTATGTACATTGCTCCTATAAGAAGCACCAAATAACAAACTCGGGTAATTTTACTTACTAGATCCATAGGTTTTAGACGAGCATCGAACCCTCCGTTTAAGAAAACTATAACAGTCTGAGTTTTATATTTAATATTATCCAAAAACGTAGATGTACCTTAGATGTTGAGGTGGCACTTCAGCTTTCCCTTAATTACTATATACAGAGAAGATGTAACATGTCATTAATCAAAAAACACGAACTACCTTAAGTGTAAACTTATTTCCCAATCGTTACACAGTTGTGCGGGTAACAATAAGCGCATCCAGAAAGCTGTGACTCAGAGCTTCTGCACTCCTTTAAGCAGTGCATTGATGGTGAATAAAATGAGACATGCTCGACATAAACGTGAGTATAACAAACTTATATGGGGGAAAGCCCAGTGATATATATGGAGTGACAAAATTCACTGATTCACTTAGTCATTCTACCCGTACAACATGTGCTCTCCTTCTCCTCTAGAGAAATGAAGCACAATGACCTTTTGACGACACTCGCGTACTGATGTTTGAAATATAATACTACCTTTTTTCATTTCATTTTGGATACCTTTATTTACTGTGCTCAAAGATTCACCGTATCTCCATGAAGTCCATGCACACAATAGCAATTTGGACAGCCAAATCTAATCCTCGACTTGGTCTTTCGCCACTACTCCAACTTCCGTTCCCATTTCCCTGAACTTGAGGATGTACCACGCGTCTGTGTGAAAACAAACACTCTCACAGCACTTAAAGTCACGGCTTTTGTTTCATCCGTGGTTTCTTTCTTCATACTATTTACTTCCAACCAACATATAGATTTTTTTATTATTCAAACCTGCTTTATGGCTCTCGTGTTAACATAGGACTTTAGGAGTGGCATTTTAATTTAATTTTTCTAATGTTCATTCTTATGCTAGTACCCGCCTATGTTTATCTGCGCAATCAGCACGCTGTCACCGAAAATGAAAATCTAGGGGCAACTAGATTCCTCAGACACTTGTTTCTACCTCCAGAATATTTCGCAACCCTAGTTAAAGGTATTAGTTAACACTCGCGGTATCCTTACGCGATAACGCATATTTTTTTCTATCTCTATCATCACCATCACTTACATCCCCTGGAGCGTGTCAAACGATCTTTAGCGGTAAAAGAGAAAAACCGGAGGGCGAAATGAATCGATGCTGTCTAACAGGAAATTAGCAATGCCTCCAAGCCACATAAAGTGGCTTGAAAGTGAAAACTAAGTATCTTAACCTCTCTACTTGAGGAATTACGAAGTACGAAGTCTTGGATCATGTTCATTGTTTCCTATAGCCAACCTCAATTCAGCATTTTGTACCGAATGTCCACAAATACAAAGATGTGTATAACCTAATTACTGACCTATATATTTCATTAGTGCATCCACATTAAATCGAGAAAAAAATATTTATTTTATACTTAAAAGTAACGTAGTGGTTCATTATGGTTCATTAAGTACTCCTCTAACGTTCGAGGCGTTTTGAACTATCCGACATTTTAATATAGACTTTGTAGAGCTGTTTAACCTCGTGTAAGCTTCATTCAGTTCTGAAAGATGGCGAGGAATAACTTTGCAAAAATCAGGGGCACCAAAATTGTACGACCATACTGGACCGGCTAATGACTTTCGTTTATATACCTTTCACTGCTGAGGAGTAACCGAAGAGTCACTAATACCCCAAGCAAGAACCCGTGCCAGGCAAATGTACCTGGCTCCGTGAGAAAGTACTGGCAAACAAACTACATAATACTGCTGAGTACAAGAAGTTTATTACATGGATACCGCATTTAATTTGCTTGGGTCGCTTACGGTTTGTCCAATCTTCTATGGCATCTCACTGGAATAGCATACTCCGTGGTAAACCTGCGAATAGCGTAACACGGCTAGTCATTGCTAACGGTACCTGTGAAGATAAACCGTACATGTCGGCCAGATCAATTCTCTTGTGGTACATGACGTATACGCAGTAGAGTCATGTAACTATTTCAGAGCCACCTCCTAGGCACTATTGACATGACTTTACAAGGTGAATTGTAGACCTGCAGCAGCCCTTTGGCGTCGCAAATTCTTCACTGCAACCCCATAACCCACAGTAAGTAACTTTAATGTAATTACATAGGAGTAGTAAGGCGAGTTAAATGGTATAGGTAGAAATTCGTCATATCTAGACTCACTCAGACAGCCGGCACACGCCCGTTTCATTCCTTCGCAAATTGTCAGCAGTGCGCATTCCATCGGAACTTGGTAGGGCTTGAACCTGCAACTCGACTGTTTCCGGTTAGTGGTTGAGACCACTGAGCTACGGGGGACGGCAACGAGCATCGTAAACAACTTACTGGATGTGATATAGCGCCGCTCAGTATCCACTGACTTACACGTTACTGCCGGGCAGAGGACAGGGTAGCTCCCTCACCAAGCGACGTGTAAGTTGTTTACGATGGTCATTGCCGTCCCCTGTAGCTCAGTGGTCTCAACCACTGACGGGAAACAGTCGGGTTGCATGTTCGAGCCCCACCATGGTCCGATAGAATGCGTACTGCTGACGATTCGCGAAGGGATGAAACGAGCGTACAATGCTTTTTCGAGCTTGTGACGGCTGTCTGAGTGAGCTTAGAGGTGACGAATTCTACCTATACCATTTAAGGTCATTCCAAGGTGATTTTTGCCAACGTTTGCAGGGTTTATCGGTGCAGCTTACAGGACAAATAGCCTAAGTACTAACCAAATAAAGCATTCGACTGTCCTTTTACGTTCTATTGAGCTGCTGATTGATTGCATAATTTGGCTTCATCAAGAACCGAAGTCGTAACCGCTAGCTGGTTGTGGCACTAACCAGTAGCTTAAGACACTAAGCTATAAAGGATGACAGTAACATTTAATGAATTTTCGGATGTGGCGTGAACCATCCTTCATTGCCACACAGGTAGCTCCTCTTGTAGGGGACAATGGCCGGTCACATGGGATCACAACTTTCTAAATCAGAAATACCTTTAAGTTAGCCAGCTCTTCATAAGTATTTTCGCGCAGTTTCCGAAGAGTGTTCTAAACATCGAGGAAGCCGTATACACCCATTGTATAAGTCGGGATTTTGTGCCCAAGCACTGTGACCCAGCGGTGGCATTATGTAGCTACGCACTTTTTGACTAATATTGTCTCAAACCAGCGGTTTTGGACTTGATGTGACCATCTTTTTGGTTCCAGCACTATTATAAACAGCTGAGTTGAATAGTTAAACGCTAACTTTATGTTTTGCCTAGCTCGGTGCCCTGTTTAGGAGACACCTGAATCTGACGCCATGGTGCACTTGACGGATTGGTTTACCCAGTATCCACTTACGCCTTATTGCTCACATTCAGCGGATGATAAACAGTAGCTGCGCTGTGAATATAACTGCGCGTTCACATCGATAGCTGTGAGCAACGCTACTGAGAACAGTACCTTGGGTAACTGTGTTCTGTTGTGTAAAGTAGGTACGAATTTTTGTTTGCCTGCTCCGTCATCCAAGTGGTATGCAAGACTCCATTGCTTTCTTGTAATGCATCGCAGTCACAATACCATCACGGTTTCTGATAATTATTTTAGATGGAACCACAGAATGCTTTGACCAGTTGAAAGGCATGCAGTTATCTATGTTCAACACATGGAAAGAACATATAGTCTGATGTGAGTTTTCGCTTGTTACCACATTCGAGTCTTAGCCAGTAAGGAAGCTGCGTGATATGGATGACTGCTATTGTTTATAAATATGAGGTGGAGGACGGCATACCCACCGACGAAAACCGATAAAAAGTAGCGCCTGGTCGTCATTCTCTGGAAACACTGGTCTGAATTGCGATGTATTTTGGGTGTGTGATCTTACTAAAGCGGATACTAACTGATATATGTCATGAAAGATTTCAACGACACAGTAAAATTTCTATCTTTTACCACATCGCGCTGCGATGGTTTTACTCTGCTTGTTCAGGTAATTGAGCATTCAACACCCAATCATACGTATTATCTGTCCATTGGGTAACGTTATCAAGTTCCGAATGTTGCAAGTTAAACTATGCATTAAGGGTTTTTTGTGTGGCTTTCTGCCATCCCTGAACTCTATGACCGATGGCTTCGTCCTGGTTTGGACTCATTGGGTAGAGACAGCCTAGTTGGGAATGAAACGGCGCAGTGCTTGACGCCTATCTCCACGATCACCAGACCATTGAGCTCCGCGAGCATTGCTCCAAAACCCGAAAATCATTAGGGATTTTGTTAAGTTCAAGAGATCCTTCACACGGAAGTCCAACTAACTCAAGGTCGCAGATTTTTGCTTCTCAACTGCGCGTGTTATTCAGTGCCAGTAAGGTCGTTTTAACCGATAGACTATAGGTGGTGACCATCGCCTACTTAATTAGTTCGATAAGCGATCCACTTTTGGGACTGGTGAAGGTAATGCCAAATAAAATCGCAGCTGTTCAACTTAATATTGTCGGAATGATAATGCGGAGTCAGTCGCTGGTATCCACCTACATGGTTTTCAAGAGCTCACCAAAAATAAGTACAGATATAAAACCCACATGTATTGATGCATCGTAAGACAGAAAGAGCATCGCTTACCGGAAAGTTCCGCTTTCCCACTCGAACCCTCCGTAGCAAGATTCTCACCGTAATCTCCGCATTCACTATGCTTCAACTGGCCCTCCCGTGCCAACTTCACTGCGTATTGTTGCGAGTCTTCCGCTAGCTTGGCATCAAGTTCCAGTTCGGGACATCCGTGTGCAGCTCGATAACTACAAATGGTGCGGGGTCTGACAATAAACAGTCGCTTACTCGTTATGAGCAGCAAGTGCTGCAGCGTTGAATTCTTTGTCAAACATGCTCTAGTTCTCTCAACTGATTAATCCGGTCGTTCAATGCCAGTTTTCTTGAGATCCTAGTCAACCACCCAGAAATAGTTGTTTTGGTAGACCATTGGTGGATGACCATGGTTCAGTGAGTGAGCACGAGGTATGCAGATTGATGGCCTGAACGCACTTCAGTGAGCGATACACAAAATACTGTTGGTCAATGCGTTGAGTAGCCTCACGTGAGAGGATGGCTCAGTTTGACCAGTCAATGAGGACTCTCTCAAACACAAAGCGAAAAGAACAAACGGAGGATGAGATCAGCTGACACCGCAACGGAAAGAAGCACACAATTACAACACAGAAAACACCGACAGCTGACGATCTAACGGAATTTATTTGTGGAACGTGGCTGCTAGATAACTTCAAAAAGACAGTTGGAAAAGTGGAAACGGCCTTAGTGGTGAGCACAACTCACGCGTCGTAGCATCCTGGTACTACAAAAACGGGCTCAGAAACACTGAACGAAGACAGTTGCTTAGCAACCGGTCCAACTCTAAGTTGTTAACATGGAATTGTTCAGGCAAAACTCATCAGAATTTCTGAATCGTTGCATGATGCCTCGAGCCGCTTCACGCTCTTTGCACTAACAGTCGTGAGGGCAATTGAAACCGACAGACCACATGAGTATTTTCAAGTGAGTAGATATGTATGTGGCAAGCAGTTTAAGGTTGGTGTGGTGACTTTGGAGTTTGACAGTGCTTCAACCTCCGGGGAAGCACAAAGCAGCTGAAGGTGCATTGGGCGTTGTCGACCATACGGAATGCAAACCAAAGTAGCGGCACCTACAATGCAAATTTTTCAGACCCATCAGTTGCTACTGAATTGAATACCCTTCGTGTAAGCATCCCATGTCTCACGGTTTAGGAAGCACATCTTAACCCGGTTGTAATAAGGGGCTCTCGAAACTGGGAGCCATTCCTGTCGTCTGAATGTTTAGATTGGACATAGCAGGGTGTTTGCTGTTCACTACTCCGCCGTAACAAGTTATTCATGACGGTCAGCGGGCGTCACTGGTGACTCAGTGGTTTAGATCGCAGTATCGTAGGCGCATACGTCCATAGGTTGGTCTGTAGCAGCATCAGGCGAATGCATCCTACTGACGAGTCCACAAAAGCCGAACAGACGTTCAGCGTTCTCATAATTTATGGTGGCTGGTTGATTGAGTGTAGCTGTGATAACCCTTATCATCATACCTTTTCATTATGCGAGATGTTTCTCCTTCCTTTGGCTCATGGCATATTTGGGAATATGTGTAGTAAACTTGTGCACTTTAAGTAGACCAGTTCAGTTGGACTTGACTTCTTGTGGCCCCCAGTTTTCAGTGACAATGTGTAAATTTAGGCAGCATTTTTCATTGGCGACGAAGTCGGCAGTGGCCATGCTTGTCGCTTGTTGGTGATTAGGCGCAACCTTATTCGTTTCCGTCCAGTGCTTCCTGGAAGCCCATCTCCTTGATTTATTTGGGCTTTTCGACTACTACTTTTTATCTGGCATAGTAAAACGCGGAAAGATGATGAAAGATAGTAGATGTGGTATGTGCCATTAGTTACCCCCACTAGTGAACAGATGAAAGCATACTGGTTATTGGTTTTATCCCTGAGGAGGCCATAAGAAATACATGCATCTCCAATTTTAGGAAGAATTTGACCTCTTGCACTCAACTCTATGTTTGCACGCAGTATCAAATGTTAAAATATTTACGCTAACTTTCAAAGTTTTTCTATGTCCATAGTGCAAGTGCACTTTATTTCTCTGTCTCAACAGCCAACCAAGTTATAGTACTGTATAGTAGAGTGTATAAGCCGATCCAAACCAACTTACACTTAAACTAGGTCTCTTTAAGCTGGCTAAATTTCATTCCACTCTATTTGGTTTGTTCTGCCTACCTGAATAATCTTCTATTAACTGGTCAAGTTGCTTACTCTAATTGCGCTTATCTTTTGTGACTTTGTGGCGTTTGTAGCATTTAACTAACTTATGGATATATTTTCCTTATCGCGCATTCGTTGCTAATCAACTTACTCCATATGGTAATTTAGCGAAGAGTTATGCAACCATATCTGTATGCATTATTGGATTTGTTTTATTTCATCTTGTCGGTTCAAGTGATTGGCTGTTGCTTGATATCCCCGGTGTGGCTGCGCTTGATGTGCATGTTAACAAGGTGCCTACCTATTACTCACTACCTCGTCCATAATGGCTCCAGGAGACAGTTTGTGGTTGCTGCAGCGGACGGAGTGCACGGTCCTTGTGGCCGTTCTAGGCTCGAAGAGCGGTTCCATACACACCGTGTGGAGCGAACTGCCGTCCAGCCACCGCCTTGTGTTCGCTTGATTCCCCAAATACAGCGTGCTTGTGTTTGCCTGTGAAGGAGTGTGGGCCGACTCCGTTGATGAAACGTGGGTCCTATCCACATGCTTCCCGGTCTTATTCCTTCGGGTTTACACTGAATATGGGTGTGTGGTTGGAGCTGTGGGTGGTGCAGCGCAAGCCATCCATGGTCCCTCTGTAGGCGCAGGCGTCCTGTGGCTGGCCACAGTGACAGGCAAATCCGAAAGCGGATGCCGCCAACCATAAGCCGATCCGTATATCATTCGATAGTATTACTTTGCAAAGTCAAATTTGCCCAAAATTGTAAGTCCATATATTAGCTGACATTCTAAAATCAGCAGAAAGTGAAACGACATCATTTCTTATAATTTCGACTTCATCAATACCTGCTCTCACTTGAATACGCACAAGCGAGAGCTGCTCTACTACTGGTTAGTTCTGGCAACCTAATGTGTTATGATCGCAGTTAAGGGGGCTTAGAGCAGCCAGAACGACGTGTTTAACCGCACTATACAATGCATTGATTAGATGTCAATTCACAAGTAAGACAGCCGGTAGGGCGAAAGGTTATGTCAGGCACCGCCTCGCATAGTCGGGGGCCTCATGCATCTGTATTGCAGTGGAGCAGTGGGTGAAGGGGAAGTTCACGATCAGTGGTGTGAGACAACGATGCACTTTTAATGCACCAGATTACCTAGCGTTGCATAATGTATAAGCGATATAAATCTTTAATCAAAATAGCGCTAACGCGACATCACACGATCCAGCTGAGAGGGAATATGCCCACATGTCATGCGACCCTCCAAAACGTTGGCAACGTGAAAAAATGTCTGAACTGAAGCGACGTGCATTTGCTGCTGGCTTCAAATTGAAAGTTATCGCGTTTACTGAGCAATCTAATAATTGTATGGCTGCACACCATTTCACGGTGAATGCAAAACAAGTGAGAAAATGGCAGAAGGAAGAGTCAGAATTGTCACTAATGACTGTAGGCAAGAGAGCAGCACGTGGTAGAACAGCCATGTTTTGTACACTGAAGGGAACGTTAGCGCAGTGGCTTATGGGGTCACAGCACAGCGGATTAATTGTTACCCGAACGATCATTCGCATCAGGGCGCTCACAATGTTAAAAGTCCGGAATTCCAGCCATCAAAACCGGTGAATTTTGTTGCTTCCTCTGGATGGTGTAATTGTTTTGACATGCACAAAACTCGCCCAGAAAATGCCTAAGGAACTGAACACTAAAGTTGAAACATTTAACAAGTTCGTGGTTCAGCTGGGAAACCAATACGATGTTGAACCGTCCCAAATAAGAAAAATGGACTGGACGCCCGAGTGCCTTGATATGCCTTCAAATCGCACGGTGGAGCAGAATGGTGCTAAGACAGTTTTTGTAAAGACGACGAAACACGAGAAGACAGGGTTCACAGTTGTTTTAGGGTGTATGGCGGATGGTTCCCATCTCTCACCATTTCTTATTTTTAAGAGTAATGCTGCCTAAAGTAGCGAGGTTTTCAAGAGGCATGTTTGTGCGGGCTCATGCGAGAGGATGGATGGAAGAGAGTGGCACTATACACCAACGGAATGCAGTTTGAGGGAAGCGAAGCGGTGCCCTTTTAAAGAAATCATCTATGCTCGTTAGGGATTCCGTTAGGGCACGCCGAACTGCGAACGTGGAGAAACAATGCTGTGAACTGAAGTTGTCCGTGGTTTTAATTCCCAGTGGACATACATCACTCTTGCAGCCACTGGATGTATGTCTCAATAAGCCTATTGAAGCTAGGCTTCGGGCCAGGTGGATTGAATGGATGTCATCCTCTGACATGACATTGATGAAGGATGGCAATGAGAAAAGTGTTGACCGTGTTACAATTGCAGAATGTGTGGAAGAAGCGTGGCTGGATATTCCATCAGAAATTATCGTACGATCATGCAAAAAGTGTTGCATCAGTAACGCTGTGGATGGAAGTGAGGACGATGCCATTTTTGAGGACTACGACAACGACGAGAGCAGTGAAGTTGAACATGACGATATTCACCCTGATGTCCCAAGTGCAGACGACCAGTACCAAAAACGGTTTGGATATTCGACCTGGATTCTAGTTTCAAAGCATTTGAGTAATTTTAATACCATTGTGCAGCATTTGGATATGTGAGCCTATAAAATCTACCGATAGGTGCCATTCTGTCATGACTTTTTCAATGTTATTGTGTGTGTTGGTGTCCGATTCTGTGTAATCAGGTAGTTTCTGTTACTGTCACCCGTCGCGAAAGTCAAATGTGCACTATACCGAGAATTTTCGACACAAACTTAACGTGTCTACCTATAGGCACTTTAAATTCTGCCTTGGGTATTGTCTCTCACTAGCGAGTGGGGCTAAGGCAAAATAGGGGCCTAGGTATACAGTGAATTGATGGGTGGATTTTGCATGTGATTGTTCCAATTGCGGATAACCATTGTATAAGCCGAACCCGCCCCACTACAGACATGGAAAATTGTCCAAAATGCCTCGGCTTATACACAGTAATACACGGAATCTATCTATTTGGATACTGGTGTGTGTGTGTGTGTCGTTGTTGCGTGCCACCCATCTCTCCGCACCCTTCTGAATAGGGACTGTTTCCATTTGTTTACTTTG